ATGATCGATGCAACCTCTTGCAGGACGAAACCCAGCTTGGTTTTCGCGGATCCGCCTCTCCTTGTGTTCAGTCAACCTTAGAAGAATAGGGCCAGAGAGCACCTTCGATGCCACCGCTAACAGGCTGATGCCACGGTGGTTTTCACATAGCGACCGCGTACCATTTTTGAAGATAGGGATAACTGTCGACATACCCCATTCTGCAGACACCTCTTCGCACTATATGGTATAAATAAGCTTCGCCAGATGGGTCACCAGGGACTTTCTGCCTTCTTTGAAGAGGGCTGCATACAGACCGCCCGGTCCTACTGCCGCCCCACGTTTATCGAAGCTACATTGTACCTTATTTCTTCTTCCGATGGGTGATCAAGGTTCACATCCCGTTCGCCCCCGTGCATCAACTCTATAATCTGTGTTGAAAGAGGCCAACAGAACTGTTCTTCGAAGTGTTCGGCCCATTTTTCCAGTCGACGTTTTGCAAGTGAATTAATGAGCCATCTTGTTCAATAATCGTTTCGCCGACCGTAATTTTCCTAGGGTCGGTCGATCGTATCACTTGATAAAGGGCGCGACTGTTTCCCGTCGTAAAGCCCATCTCCATCTCCCGAGCTTTCGATATCCTACCAGAGCTCTCAGTCTTTCCTAAGATTATTCACCATTTGGCGTTTGAGAGATTTGCGTGCGCTGTCATACTCGTTGACTGCTGGCATAGGTTTCCTGGCATCAATCAGGGATAACGACCCCGAATTGGAGAAAACGGGCAGGCAGAACTGAACGAGGGTAGTATACCTCCTTCCACATTTTGCCACGCTTCATCCACATGCTCACTGCCACCACAGTATTGTATTACTGTGGAGAGTTGTTGGGCTAGCTCAGATCGATACTGTTGAGCTATGGTGGTTCTTCGAAGCTGGTGGATCGGCATTCTTCTCGGTGATTTGCGGGGGCCTGAACGGAGATGAAATGTCAGGCGCGCGCGTACCATGGCGTGATCGGAATCAAGTGATGTGCCTCAGAAATAATGGCAGTCTTGAACTATGGCCCTCCACCAGTGGCTGTTTGCCACGTGATCCAACTGGGTCCACGGTTAATTTTTAGCTTGAGACCGCCAGGTTACGCAGTGCGAACGTTTATGTTGAAAGTCCGTACTTGCCAGGAACAGCTCATGATCCGCCAACATCTGAAAGAGTCGATCTCCGTTTTCTGTGTGACAAGCATGGACTCCAAATCGACCACCCAAATGTGATTCCAAGAAGCTCAGATGATCTACTTGGGCAGTAAATTGCCTAAAAGGATCGCAATGTCATGTATTCTTCCTAACGAATGAAGCCGGATAGCTCCCAATAGAAAGTATCCTTCTCCGCATCGGAACTGCAGTCCGTTGGGGCATAAGCCGACACGACAAACAGGCACCGCTTTTTATGCCGCGAGACGTTGTGCTTGATTGAACCGGATAACCGGACGGCGCAGAGACGACCGTTCACTGGGATCCAATCCAGCAAAGCGCGTTCAGCCCTGAGGCTGAGTGCAACTCCCACGCCATATATTCCACGAGTCATTGCTCTTGGGTCACCGGACACACGGAGGGAGAAATGAGGAAGGGCTGATTTCATCTCGGGGTTCTGAGATGCATAGTCACGCTTGGGTCTTGCATGGGTGTTTCGGGGACACAACATAAATCAATTTTAAGGGAGTGCAGGGTTTCAGCAAACACAGCCTGTTTGCCAATTTTACATAGAGTACAGACGTTAAAAGCCCCTATATAGAAAGGATCTCGTGGACTAAGAAAGGTGTTATTTTGCTTAATTTTTGTAATACTACCGTCTGGCATGATCATGCACTTACAGTCACAACAAGGCATGACTGGGGGGTTTGCGGTTAGTGGGTATTCCGCGAAAAGTGAACAATGTCATAAACAGTGGGAAGTACTTGATGAAATGATTATAAGGTTTCTTTTGTAACGTGTGGGAAACAAAGGCATGAGGTCGTAATAACTCAAGGACTCAGTCGGCTGACATGAACTACAGCTGGAAAACCATTGCTTGCCACGAGTGACCTTCGGTGGTTGGGTAAATGGCCGGAGTCATAACGAGCAAAAGTGTAGGTGGAGATGGGATAATTCGAATTGGGAGAACACGGCAAGTTTAGTCTCAAAACGATGGTGCAATCTGAGAACAAACAGCGAGGGGCCCGTGGCCCTTCGGTCAGATGACTGACACCCAAATGGCCCAGCGGCGTTTGCTTGTGCAGTTGAAATGGAGCGGGGAGGGACGTTGGTGGACGCTGAATTGTGCGAGCAAATGATACTTCCCGGTTGCCCAAGCCGAGGGGGGAGGTTTGGTTGAGGTACTACACATTGAGCCTTTGACTCAAAAGCACGACCCACAAGGCAGTGGAACCCTGCCCGGAGACGACGACTCAACAGTCTGACCTACTCGGCTGCAGGGGGCAACCTAACAAGAGGGCGCAAGGAATAAAGCAATACTGTTTCATTCCTGATGCGGTTGCGCACAGCAGCTACCTTTTGGGCAACACTGGGCTTTTTGGTTCCAAAAGTATTTCGACCGTATTGAATAATCTGCCGGCGGTCACGGTCAACCGTTTGGCAATCGAAGTGTGCGGTTTTTGGGCCGACCTTTTCTAGCCCGTCCTTCCTCATGGAAGGCAGCATCGTTGCTTCCATAAATACGGATATGTTGGTCGACTGGGGGAATCACCTTACTGCCTTCACACTCCTATACAGAACGACGTTACCCCCAGACCGCCTTGTGGCACGATTACTCGTAGTGCGGGGTTTCGCTGCCCTTGGTCTGGCTAGTCTCCTTTGGCCTTCCTGGCATGGTTGCACCTTAGGGAACAACGGTACAGCAAGTGTAACCCGCTGGATCACTGCAAAACTCAAGTCTGACCGCCGTGTCAAAGGGGCAGCTGTAGGGCGGGTCATAGACGCTGTGAAAACAGGTGATGAGTATTTGATCATATGGTGAAACGAAAAATTTATCGCACATCATGCTCATTGTTTTGCCACGAGTTGCCTAAATTTCGCCTCACGTACCCGCGATTCATCCCTTACATTTTGGCCTTCTGGGCCCAAACCGGTTCTGCATGTCCCACCCGGGATTTCCCGCCTTGAGGGTGTGACGAAAAATCGTTCTGAAAATTTTCCGGATCTGCTTGAACAAGCCGATCTATCTTTCTGAAATTCTTAAGCGGACCACGCACAAGTTATCCAGGCACGCTAGGTTTCTCACGTAGGGGTACGGTGCAATACATCGTCCAAGTGCAACCAAAGAGAAAACCCTGAGATCGACTTGCCCGTTTCGCATCCAGTCTATCAAATGACCAATTCACTTATGGCCTAAAGCCTAAAGAGATTAAATTATCTTCATGTTGAATATACCATGGTGGAGTGCGACTTTGTGCTGGATGTTGGTGTTTTGGATGTGTTGCACTTCCGTGCCTAACAGATATCATGGATCCCGATCAACGCACTAAGCGTACATGTGAGATACGTCTGTCTAGCAAGCCGTTTTTATCGAATATCAAACTTGGTAGGCAGGGTGGACATGATATGTAGCATGCAGACGTTGCTCTCATCTTCAAAGAGGGGGATGAACTTACCAAAGTCATCACGTATTCGGTATGCACTCTGCACCCACGACGTGTAAGGTTACAATAATAGTGTTTATTCCCAATCGGTGGGTGGCAGGATCATTAGGTTACATTCAGAATAAAGCACGAGCCTGTTGGTAGTTGCAGGTAATGGAGCGAGTGGTCGAGAGTGTACAGTCAACCGAAGGAAGCGATTAGTTCCAAGTGTGCTACCCAAACGGATGTGGCAGTGCCTTTCCATAATGTTACTGAGATACTTCGGTTTCTGGACAGTCTGGTAACGGATTTCCTGTTTGAGGAAATCGGGCTGGGGTGTGCAATTCTGTGAGCCCGAGCTATGGAAGTTTATTTATAAATAATAGATGCTGAAAATTACAAGCGCAATCACATTAGCTGTTCGGTTTTACGGAAATTAGCCCTTAGCTGACGAGGCTGTAATCGATTCACCTGATGCGATGAATCCACCGACTCTGGTGTCACGGTAGGTTGCACAGATTGTAACACGGTTGCGTTATTTTCTGCTGCTTCCCATGCCACCGCAGTATCGTAGGCCGTTTTCAAAGTTAAGTTGCTATCAGCAGGTAAACATTATTGTATGCGGGCGTTTCTCACACCAACTACCAAGCGGTCTCTGAGCATACCGTTTTGAAAATCTCCGTA